TTCAGTGGTTTAGGCGTAATAGAGAGACAGACAGACAGACAGAGTTACTTTCGCATTTATAATATTAGTATAGATTCTCTGACCTGTAGAACATCTGTTCAGCCGAAATGGGAGACTAGTGCATTTCTAGTCACAGCATGGTTTGGCTAAAATGCAACTAACAAATAAGTGGACTTGCAAAAATCAGGCTAGGATATTGTTCTCTCCTAACAAACGATGTGAATGTCATACTGAAATAGATGACGTTGCCTGAGGTGGGAATTGAATCCTGAAGGGTTAACACTTGAGGTTTTCTTTTTCAAATATTGTTTTAATATTTTTCAGACAATTATAGCATTAGCATTATTACAAAAATCCCAATATCAAGTAAAGAATGTCTCCATTATCAGCTGATGTATGTAATAGTTTATTCATTGACTTCTTCGTAACTCCTACTCAACTTTCTGAAACGGTTAAACCCAAAAAATACATAATAACTGTCGTATTTTGGGAAAACACACATCTTTAGTGTAAATAAATATACGCGGAAACTTACGCAGGCTTTGTATCGAAGTGAAAATGAGGATAAATGTGTCGATAAACTTGTCACGTAGTTTGCTGCGTCTTATTAGACTGGCTGCGCGTAAGGTTGTGTTTACATTGGAACTACAAAATCTAGGATTATGAGTTAACCAAATAATTAAAAAAACCTGAAAATTCATGAAGCAAAAAACGCCTTTAATAGCCTTCTAGCCACCTATAAGAGTCTATATCTAAATATATAAAAGGAGAAACTGACTGACTGACTGACAGATCAACGCACAGCCTAAACGGCTAAACGTAGGCACTTGAAATTTGGAAGGAACGTAGCTTAGGTACCGTAGAGGTGCACTAAGAAAGGAATTTCCGAAATTCCCACGGGAACGGGAATTAGCGGGAAAAACGGGATTCACGCGTACGAAGTCGCGGGCGGCCGCTAGTTATTTTATATTTTATTAACTTTGTATTTTTCTTATTAAATTGTATTTAAGACGGCAATAACAAACAAACAAAATTAGATTATTTAACTATGAATTATGATGTTTTTATAAAGATAATTTCAAGAACAAATAAAATATTACACCTTAGTCACTGCCTTAGTGAAAAGTGCCGTAAAGTCGATTATTATTTGGCCTATTAAAATATTATTACTTACCTACTATGAAGTACTTTTGGCATTTATTAAACTCCTTAAGTGCTTTACAACTACTTAGCATAGTTAAGGTTTTGTAATGAATTTAAATAATAGAATATCTACTGTTCGTCTGTATTTAATTCACTATCTAAGCTTTGTGATTTACTCTTTAAAGTTAATTAATTCATGAATATCAAGTTGGTTTGTTAATTAATTTAATCGGTTTCATATAAATGAGGGCTTTCGCGAATGAAAAATCCGCCAGATGGCAATACGTAGACGCGAGGTCCAAATGCTGCATGATTGGTTATTTTTGACATGACATTGACAGATATGTCAAAATCCACCAATCACGCAGCAGTCAGACCCCACATCCACGTCCCGCCATCTAGCGGATCTTTCATTCGCGAAAACCCTCATTCTTTAAAGTACGGCATCAAAGAAGGCAACAGACCTTTATCATCGATTAGTGACCAGCATTTTTAACCGACTTCAACAAAAGGAGCGGAGGTTCTCAAGTCGGTTGGTATTTTTTAAACGTTTATTAGGTATTNCACCATTTTCTTTATTTTCTTCCATCATACCTACACAAGAATACGCGTGCGTTAGTCAATGTTCGCTTGTATGTGAAGCCTTGTCCTGTAGGTGGGCCATCGTGCGTGTTTTGTTTTCGATGTAAACTCGCGGAGATGAACAGGCCTGCCATAAGTACTTAATTCTACCAAACCATAAGTAGGTATTTCATATTCTTACAAATCTACACATTTGAGGTCATAGCACTTATCGACTGTAAGTAGGTATATCTGTAGGTATAGATAATTCTCTGACCTGTGGAACATCTGTTCAGCCGAGATGGGAGACTAGTGCATTTCTAGTCACAGCATGGTTTGGCTAAAATGCAACTAACAGATAAGTGGCTTGCAAAAATCAGGCTAGGATATTGTTCTCTCCCAATAAACGATGTGAATGTCATACTGAAATAGATGACGTTGCCTGAGGTGGGAATTGAATCCTCAAGGGTTAAATATAGGCCTTTCACGTTGCGGATGAGGTAGTAAGCACTTGAGGTTTTCTTTTTCAAATATTGTTTTAATATTTTTCAGACAATTATAGCATTAGCATTATTACAATATTCCCAATGACAAGTAAACAATGTCTCCATTATCAGCTGTTGTATGTAGGTAATAGATTATTCATTGACTTCTTCGTAACTCCCATTGTATCTTACTGAAACTGAAGTTTGGTTAAACCCAAAAAATATATAATAACTGTCGTATTTTGGGAAAACACACATCTTTAGTATAAATCAATATACGCGGAAACTTACGCAGGCTTTGTATCGAAGTGAAAATGAGGATAAATGTGTCGATAAACTTGTCACGTAGTTTGCTGCGTCTTATTAGACTGGCTGCGTGTAAGGTTGTGTTTACATTGGATCTGCAAAATGTAGGATTAGGAGTTAACCAAATAATTTAAAAAAACCTGAAAATTCAGGAAGCAAAAAACGCCTTAAACTGCATTCTAGCTACCTACCTATAAGAATCTAGTATCTTATTTTATACAATTTTATTAACTTTGTATTTTTATATTTTAAATTGTACATGACGGCAATAACAAAAAAATAAACAATCGATTTATCTTTAACTATGAATATGATGTTTTTATAAAGATTATTTCAAGAACAAATATTAAACCTTAGTCACTGCCTTAGTGAAAAGTGCCGTAAATTCGATTATTATTTGGCCTCTTAAAATATTATTACTTACCTACTATTAGTACCTACTTTTAGTATTTAAGCTCCTTAAGTGCTTTACAACTAGCATAGTTAAGGTTTTGAATTGAATTTAAATAATAGAATACTGTTCGTCTGTATTTACTCGTAATTCACTATCTAAGCTTTGTGATTTATTCTAAAAGTTCAATAATTCATGAATATCAAGTTGGTTTGTTAATTAAATTAATCGGTGTCATATTGTCTTAAGTACGGCATAAAAGAAAGGCAACAGACCTTTATCATAGACTAGCTGTGCCCGCGACTTTGTACGCGTGAAAACCCGTTTTCGCAAGATTTTTCATAGTTCCTGTTGATCGTAGTGTGATATTGTATAGCCTATAGCCTTTCTCGATAAATAAGCTATCTAACACTGAAAGAATTTTTCTAATCGGACCGGTAGTTCCGGAGATTAGCGCGTTCAAGTAAACAAACAAACAAACAAACTCTTCAGCTTTATAATATTAGTATAGATTAGTAACCAGCATTTTTAACCGACTTCAACAAAAGGAGCGGAGGTTCTCAAGTCGGTTGGTTTTTTGAAACGTTTATTAGGTATAGGTANTAGGTATTTTTGTTTAGTATCCAAAGTATCCAATCGCCGGTTAACCGCAAATTGGACATTCCCAAACAAACTTCAGTGGGACTTTTCCGAAATATTTGTACAAAAACCTAAATTAAAAACACCCGGCTTAGATCAGCCAATAAATGCGTATCCTTTGCGAATTTATTATTATCCTGGGCATTCGGAAGTTCGGGGCCGGATATAAAGCCTAATGAGTTTTAATCAGTAAGGCGTGCAACCGGTCCTTTGCCCGGATTCTGTTTTACGACGTTATTATATTTGTAAGCGGTCCCTTTCTTCTTCCCTTTGTTATTGTAACAGAATAATATACTTCTGTATTTCTAGCACGAAACACTTTTGACTTCGAATCCTTTGCGTATTCGAATCGCCATCAAACATTTTAGTAGATATAACCTTGGTACTATTACTTATCATGTGGTTATTACTTAGGCTGAGTTGCACCACCTAACTTTACCGGTAACTTTAACGATAACCGGTCGTATTTGGTTTTTGTAGAGACTTGACGATTGTTAAAGTTAAAGTTAGATGGTGCAACCCAGCCTAAGTGTGTGAAATGTAGTTCTTGTACGTACTCTTATAGTGTTGTGATATTAATTAAATTATACCTGCTTATTTCTAAATTGCGGCAAAAGAAGACATAAAAGTTGACGAAAATGGTAAAGTTGGAAAGACACTATTTAGGAGATCCATCGCAAGAAAGCGATCTCTTCCAGACAACCTGAAGAGAGAACTGTCTTTTGAAATAAGGATAAAAAATAGAGATACTTACTTATTAACAGATAATTTTATCATATTATTTTATGAAATAAGATGAATCATATCTAATGAATACTTATGGTCGCATTATTTTGTAAGATGATACTGATTTGTCACACCTACATTTATTTATATCTGATTAATTTTCTAGCTCGTCTATTCCTTCAGAAAAAACAATCTCATAAGATGTTAATGCCCTCTAGGGCGAAAAAATATCGATGTCATTTTGGCACTCCACTTGCTGGAAAAAGAGTATCGAATTATCCGTCCATATTCATTAATTATAACGAATGTTACTCGTATTCTGTTATCATTTTATTGCGTTTACGATAATATTATTTCATGATCTTCATCTTTTGATGTTACTATGTTTTTAATCCTTTTTACTTTCCCATTTTCGGATTTCGGATTTACATTAATTTTTCTGGTGTAATAAAATTTTAGACGGACTTTTAAATATTTTGGATGTTTTTTGTTATAATGTTTAGGTATATTTCTCTTGAAAAAGAACGATTTTTTGATCGGATTAGTACTTAAAAACTAAGTAGTAGAGTTAATTATGTCCTTTACATTGCTCAAACAGATGTATAATTAAGTTATGGGACATAATTTTAAGAGATTATGGTGTTCTCCGTTAATTATACATATTTCTTTATCCTTACATCTATAAATAGCAAAATGATGTCCCAATTTGTATACCTAACCCATCATTAAAAAAAAGTAAAAACAGTTCATTATGTTTAAAGCAAATATAATTTTAATAAAATATTTGGCACCGTCTTACAAGTTACAAATAAGTAGTATAATATTTTAATCTAAGACATAATTTATTATTCTTCTCAGCCCCTTCTGTCCTTGATGCTCCTATAGACGTCGTGGGCTGTCCCCGCGGCGCTGATGACCTTCAGTCCTTTGCCCTGAAAATAAAAAACATTTGTCAACAAGGAAGTACAAAACAACACACTCCCAATTTGAGAACTTCCATTTTAGAAAATAATGCTCGTTATCATATTTCTTTTTATTATTTTAACGCTTGGTAAAAATACAAAGTTAAAATGATATTTTATGATAGCCTATAAATATTAGATTAGATAAGGCTGTGGTTATGCCATTCTGATAGCTACGTACATTTATAGGTAGGTAGGTAGGGAACAGGCTTGATTAAGAGTAATCTACATAAAATACAATATTGTAAAGCTCCATCAAAATTCGTAGAGTAAGGTTTTGCGCAAAGGAATAACAGACAAACAGTTTATGAGTTTACAAACTTTTTTCCTTAAAAAAGTTATATTAATTATAGTTACCACAACTTTGGCGACCTGCTTGACAGGAACCTTAGGGGCAGGGTTGGCCTGACCAGCACCGATGAACATGGCGAGCACTGCCATCACCATCATGAATAGAGCTGTGATCTTCATGTTTGTTTTGTTTGTAAATAAGGTCTACGTGAACTTAAGCGTACGAGCTGCACTGCCGCGTAGCGAACTGTGAATGCGTTAAAGATGTAGAGCCTCATATTTAAAGCTCCGCGGTGGTTCCAAAATTTTCCTGGTGATGAATACTCGTGCTCATATCGGGTTGGGTTTATCCCGATGAATGGGTATGCGATAAGACAAAAGTTTAAGAACGGGAAATATTGTGTACGTGACGGTATGATTATTCTTATGGACATGGCATTCTTTATTGTTGTACGGTAAAATACTTTTACGCTAAAAAATGTTAAAGTATGATTTCATATTTTGAAGTTTCCTTTAAATTATTAAAAAATATAATATATTTTAGCTTATCTGTAAGCTCAAACTTTAAAAACTCTACATCTTAGACACCCTGCAGACTTCAGACTTTTAGTCGGCCGATAGTTTGGTCAGTACCTCTAGTAGGAAAAACTTTCGAGTTCGTTTCGTTGCGTATTCAAAGTGTCATCGAAAAATTTTGTATGAAAAATTAAACAGCGCCCCCTAGGGCGGCTATAATATAGGGGGCGCTGTTTAATTTTTCATACAAAATTTTTCGATGACACTTTGAATACGCAACGAAACGAACTCGAAAGTTTTTCGTACTAGAGGTACAGCTTCTAATTTGCGGGGTGTATCTTAGTCAAATAGTGACTGAGTAAGAATCACCTTGAGAGAAGTTGTCATTATGAGCTAAACCGGATTATTAGACTGGCCACTAACTCGTAAGTTTGTTGGATGCATGAAAAAATATTAATACCTACTCGAAATTACACTAGGTATGCTTTAATGTATAATTGGTGTTCAATTTACTATTTGCTTTATCCAAATTCAGTCAGTACGAATAGTAATGTAGTTAATCACACTAACGCACCGATAGAATGAACATTCCAATTCCAATGATTCCAATGATTTGTTCTATTCAGAATTATGTGAGGTTTCCACGTTTCATACAATACATTCTAAAAATCGATACGTCGACCCTTTTGTCCTAAACGCTTAATAAAATTTTATTTATTTATTTATTTTTATTACCTACATGAAATAGGATTACTATGACGTGGAAATCTATTTTTACATAACGTTATTTGTTTTGTTTCTTGTACCTAAACAGGAAACAAACTCTATTCTAAAAACTTTTACAAAACGAGTAGCTAAATTGTACGAAATAGGTAAATATTTTAGGGAATATACTTATCTTCTGTATATATATTTTAACGTGGTTAGCTAGTAATACAAAGAATTGAATAACTTGTTGATTTAGAATTTGAGATACATGTTTTTATTAGAGATGCGTATATTTTTCATTTCGATAAAATTGCCCATGGGTAAAGTAATCCCATTTGCATTAGTCCCATGGCTCTTTGATGATATGGCGTTGTAAAGAAATTTCACGACTTCGTTAAAATCCCTTTCAAAGATCAACCCGATACTTACCCTCTTTCATTGTTGATTAATCAGGTCAAAAATAAAATAAATTCTCTAAAACTCACTGGACACAAAAATAAACTCCTTCTTTTTGAAGTCAGTTTTAAATAAAATATTTACAAGTACCTAATAATAAACTTTTTGTATCTGTTAGGTATTTATTTAATTCTCTATCATAATTAAGTATTGATTTATCCTTGATTCATCTTTCCTGGTTAAAATTTATTGTAGGTACATAATATGATTATTTTATTATGCAACCATTCTGTAATATTACTTTGAATAAGTTCTAAATTATTATCTATCCTTATCCTTAAAGTACTGTATCACACTGATTGAAAAACAATTTATACTTACCTACCTCATATGCTTCTACGTAGTGTGATCTAAATTGTTTTTTTCGGGGCTTTGAGAATATCAGAAGGCTCAATTAAAATTTTAAATAAAGTTTATTCTCTGTTTTTGATATTGTGGTATACTTCGTGGGCTGTACCAGCTCCAATCACACCCAGTCCAGTTTTCAGAAACAAATTAAAAAGTAATTAGAACGTACTGCTCAAAAACCGGTTGATTAAAATTAAAAAGTTTCAGCCCCAATTTAAAAACTGAAAGGCGTACTCGAGTAGAATAATTAATAAACTTACTTTTATCCCAAAAACAACAAGTTTCCGAATGCTTCAGGAAGATACAATTTAAAAAAATGTGCAAATAAGTACATTCTAAAAATTGTTTCCTCGACTCTTTTGTGTCATTTGGCTGTGCCTCTGACTAGTGAGCGTTAATCCTAAACGCTTTGTTAACAACATAATTATTTTATGAGTGAGTTTTCGTATTTCAGTGATATTAAATAGCTACCTAACTACGGTAAACTGCCAGTCATTGGACACTAAGAAAGTTTTTGGACAGTTATTTACTGAATTAAAAATAGCATTTCTATTTTAACAACTGAGAGATCCCGACTGATGGAGATAAAAGAGCGTTTTTTTGAAGGAATATTCATTGTATTTGAAAGAATATTCATTTTAAAAAAATTCAAGGGTTGTTTTGTCCAATGACTGGCAGCGTCCAATCACTGTCGGTTTACCCTACTACTTTTTAAATTGGTTTTGATGTATCAATAAAAATATTTCTTCTCGCTTAGGTTAAACTTAAATGAAATTGAATTCAATCTGTTTTTATTTTCAATTGTATGATGAAAACGTTAAGTTTTGTCTCTTGTAACAGGAAGATGTTAGTGGAATTATCAGAGGGATTCTGAAAAAGAATTAAGCAAATAAACTCGATTCTAAAATCTTTTACACAACGAATATTAGCTAAATTGTACGAAATAGGTAAATATTAGANATATTAGGCTGTTTTGCTTTAATTTGTAAATGCCAGTCGGACGACAAATAAAAGGTTTTTTTAAAATTATATTTCTACAGCTCTACTTTTTATAATGAGAAAAAATACCTAGCTGTAATAATAAAGTAGTAAAATATTAATTATTGTTATTAGTACTGGTATGAGCTACGAGTATATTATGTAATATTGTTTGTTGTTCTGATTAAAATAAAATAAATAAATAAATTAGCTGAACTTTTTAATTAATTTGAAGTTTGAAACTCAATGACCATAGATACCCATTTTGTATGAAATAGCTTATGTTTGTAGTGAGCTCAATACTTAACAAGGGTTTTTGTAATAGGTAACAACAAATAATTGAAAAGGCTTTTTTTATTTGACTAAAGAACAAAAGATTTTACAACCCTGTTGCGGGTTCGAATCTCGTTGAGGGCTTTAGTGTGATGTGCACCAGAGTTATCTTCGTGTTCGTGTTCATTAATTTATATGTGTAACTAAAATATCTATTCATTATAGGTCAGCATATAAGCTTGATTGATTACAGATTTATTGTTTGATCAATGGTACCTAAATAATTTGTTTATTATATAACGTGATATGAAAGGATTCTAATTTATTTTTCTAAGGGGATTTAGGGTTAAGTAAAAAGATAAAATAATTGTAAAAAACATTGAACTTTATTAAACTTTTTGGTCCCAAAATTGTAATATCGTTAATCTAGAAGCTAATGAATGATTGAATTTTTCCGATCAGCCTGATCTCCTATCCTTGATGTTCCTGTATATTTCGTGAGCTGTTCCCGCGGCACCAAGCACGCCGATTCCTTTACCCTAGAAAATAGAAAATACATTAATTATTTATTTATTACATACATAAATCATATAAGTATCCGTACATGGAAGGAGGAAAGGAGTTACGTCACTTTATCCTACTTATTCGCGGTGGAAATTCAAAATGTTGATATTGGCTGGATTCCAAATAAAGTTAGGCTCTGTTATTGATCTAATATTTAGTAAGTAACTATGTACCTATGTATTGCCACGTTAAGTTTAAAACTTTTAATCATTGAATGGAGTCAGGGAACAAACTTTTAAGTTCGAGGACGCAGTCATGTTGTTTTGTAATTTAAAAAGTACAAAGAATAAACATTTAAGTAGTTTATTCTAAATCAAATGAAAACGTGACATGTCCCGTATTATTTGTTCTCTAATAAAAAATGTGATATTGTAGCAAAATAAACCTTATGGTTTATTTAATAATTATTTATTAAAGAATACTCACAACAGCTTTGCCAATCTGCTTCACAGGGACCTTGGGTGCTGGGTTGGCGTGACTGCCGACGAACATAGCGAGCAGCGCCATGACCATCATGAAAATGGCTGTGAACTTCATTTTAAAAATATTTCTTTTTTATTTCGTGGATACGAAGACAAACAACTCTACTTGGAGTTCTTAGTGTGAATGCGTTAAAGACGTGAAGTCTCCTATTTAAAGCTTGGCATTTTTCCGATTTTTTTCCTCCTGAGGAGCACGTGTGTTCGTAATACCTATGGGTTTATCCCGATAAATATTCATATCGTCGCGAAAACTTACTTACATTATAGGAATATAATTAATTACAATAAAATTGTAATCAAATTGTGATTTAAACAATAAGGAAACCTACGTTGCTTTGGAAAATATGATTTCTGCTTTTTAGTTTCTGCTTTCCATGCAAAAAAGAATAGTATTAACACGGAGATAATATTCCCATTTTAAAATGTAACGTGCTGTTTATTAATTAGACTGAGTGTAATATTGGACTACACCTAGTTATTTCGGTGATCGATTTCATGTGATTTTTATGTTTTCATAACACCTGGTAAAACAAATAATTCGCTGTGAATGTTATTTGGTCTTTAATTTATCATCTTGGTTAAATCCTAAAAACAACTTGTCTATAATAATAAGAATAAAAAATAATAGTTTTCGCACTTAAAATGAAAAGTAGAGATCTAATAAGCTATCAGGGTTGTCAAAGTGGGGTGCGTGAACCCTTAGGGGTTTGCTATTCGACGGCAGGGGGTTCGCGACAAGATTTAGTAGGCAGAATTTAGGTTAAAATTGTCCAAAATTAGTAAGTACCCTTTATTTTCTTCAATAGGCAATTTTATTATTTTCTTTGGGGGGAGGGGCGACTTAATTAGCTAGTTAAGGAGTTCGCTGTCACTTGGAAACTTTAACAGGGGTTCGTGGTGCTGAAAGTTTGAGAAACCCTGGCTAAATTATAATAATAAAAGTAGGTACATGCAAAAGTTTGAAGGGATGGTTAATGATGTTCCTCCTTTACGTAAAAAGTAACTGAATAGACGAAGTTTATAATCTAAGTAGCTAAGCAGATAACCAAGAGCGGTCTTATTCAGTTAAGTAAGTAAATAACTATCGTTGAAACAGTCCGTTAGTATACCTACGATCGTGAAGAGCCAAAAAAATTATCATGACTGGTCTATTGGATATAAATGATTGCTTCATCATTTCAGCCACAGAACGTCCACTGCTGAACATAGGCCTCCCTCCCCCAATCACTTCGACAACGCACGACTATTAGCGGGCTGCATCCAGCGCCTTCCTGCAATCCTGCTACCTTTATCAGGTCGTCGGTTCACCTTGTGGGTAGGTGGTGGCATGAATTTAGTAAAGATTTTAAGTGTTCAAATACATATATTAGGCTCGCTATATCATCCTTACTGAAAAACAACACTACAATAAGTTAAGTCTTAACAAATTTTCCTGCTCACTTTCCCGTGAATTACGCGAACTGGGTTATTCCGTCCATTTGTATTTGACAAACGTCGGCAATCACACTTCCTTGGCGCGAGGGATGCAAAATAATTTCATTTATTTTGTTTCTTGAATGAGCCTTATTATACAGGCCAATATGAAACAAGTAATAGATAAGTCCAGAATCTTGAAATTCTTGAAGGATATTTTATATGAGAACATGTATGGTAGGTAAGTTAATATGGTGAGTAAGAAGAAAGCGAGGCAAAAAGCTCATACTCTTACGTAGGTACTGGTATAAGACGTTTCACTATTTCTTTATGAACTTTTTATGTGTATTAAAAAAATAATTATGCAACTTTTTAATACCTGACCGCCTCAGAAGGAGGAGGTTAATGATTTCAATTTGTAACTTACGAGGACAAACAAGCAATTAGGTATGAATAAATAATAGAGGCATATGAACTTTCAACAGCTTTATTTACTTAAATAAAATCTAGGTACCTAAGTCACATTATTATTACCTACATAAGTAGTTTATTACAGTCGATTTTTTAGATATAAATGAGAAGTTAACATTGTTAGAGTTTCTTAATCTCTATTCTTGATGTTGGTGTCCACTTTGTATGCTGTTCCTGTAAAAGAATGTTAATAGTACAATTATGAAATAAAACTCTGAGATATAAATACTGTATCTATAAAACTTATACTCACAGCTTTGTCAATTTGCTTATGATTTTGATTTTTTGCCAATTAGGCGAAGGGTTGACGTGATCAGCGCCGACATACATCGCGAGCAACGCCATCACCACCATGGAAAGAGTTGAAAACTTCATGACTTAGAGATGATGTAGGTACAAATGCACGCTATGGCGAATCCGATGGGAATACATCTCGCTGCAGCAAATTCAGTATTTAAAGGCACAATAACGAAATGTTGTTTTCCTTAATTTCAATTACCGTAAGCTTGGGCTATCCCAAGCGCTATCTCTTACAAACGTCATTGTTAGTACCTACGCAGGTTTAGTCATAATAGTCAGTTCAGTGACATTTGCTCTGCATGCATACACGTTTGTAGACGTGAGTTGAATTATTGGTGTATGTATACGCTCACTTACCTAGGGTACTTAAATTTTTGTTTATAGGTAGTGTTAAAATAGATACAGATCTTTTAGTCATACCGGTAATACCTATTAAGTACTAAATGAGAATCGCAAAGTTAAAACTTTAACAAGGGTTTCCCAAGGATTAAAATGTTCAAAACATTTAAATCACTTACAGTTACATAGGCCCGGACTTGAGTATTTCAGTATAGTGAAATAGATACACATTACTCTGGGTACATTAATTATTCACAAGCATTATACATTAGTAGTTTAAGTACGTTTGTGGGAATCGAACCCGCAACCGCAGGCAGCGTTGTAATCCGTTACAAGAACACAATCATAAATCCTGTTAAATTTGGAAGGTTTTTTTTATTCACTTGGCCTGTATCTCCTCACCTGATGGTAAGTGATGATCAGGCCGAATACCAAACCGAGAAAAATATGCCCCCACTGGGAATTAAACCCGGGTCCTCTGCGTCTGAAGCAGGTGGTATTACCACTAGACCACAGAGGCGGTACTACTTACTGCCTTGTAGAGATGGGTTATACTAGGTAAATTTGATACTAGGTGCACCTATTCCTAGTATTTATTAATACTCGATCCAAATACCTATTCCACCTAGTACGTAGACATTTAGCATACTTGACGCGACTAGTGCGGACTAATCCACGTAATAGGACTTTAAAATACAATTCTTTGAAAAGATACAACCGTAGTATGAATACTTCAACAGGCTTAGGACTGTCAACTTAAAAGTTGGCGTATTTAAAAGATATCAATTTCATAAAAATATTTACATATTTTTTCTTATTTACATGAATATGGTTTGACTGCGTTTGTGTGCGTTTGCTTCGTCACGCTCAAATTTGTTTGGTCAGACAGAGACGGAGTGAATCTCTACGTTCGCACATAAGCTTAGCGAGAAATACTAGGTGCGCGTAATACACGACTACGGATTACGCAATAATAATACGATATTAAACACAAATAAACTCAACGACCTTTAAAATGGACAACGAATCAGAAATTGTTTTAATAACAAGTGCCACGCCATCTAGCGATGAGCGGTACAGGCGAACACCACGGTTGCCGGTGTGGCGCTAGTAGTATTGATTGTGAATGTGGTGTTACTCCAGATCTTCGATTTTCCTAGTTTTTATAGTTTTCCCTTTATGTAGTCATTAAACTCTGACTCTGTACCAAATTTCAGCTCTCTGAGTTAATGGGAAGTACTAGTTCTATTTTGATGATCATCAGTGAGTGAGTGAGTGAGTGTCGTAAATGCGAAACTTTGCTTTCGCTTAACTTCGGAACTAAATGACCTACAAACTTGAAATTTTGGATTTTAAGTATGTGATTATAGCTTACTAGATGACAAAAATTTCTGCGTTCTGGTCTTATCCAGAGGTTCTCAAATAGAGGCCTGAAAATGCGGCGAAATGGTTCCAGTAAAGATGGTACGGCAGTGTTTGCTTCGCGCTCGACTTGGCGGGGGCACTGCCGTGCCCCCAGATAGAGTAAAATCAACATTAATTCTGTTCGTATTGGAATATACATATGTAATAATACGAGTACCTACTATTGTAATAAGTTCACTTACAGTGAAAAAAGTAGCTTTGTAACTGGAGCAACACTTTAAATATTATAGATGTTGAACTCTTCGTATCTCTTCTCCATATCGAATAAAAAGAACACATCTTCTTTTGCCCCTATGTGTTATCCACTTAATCACGAAAGAACTAAATTACAGTACCTAACACAGTGAAAAACTTTGTAGCTAACGTTGTACCATTTTCTTCCATAAATGATGTCATGTTGATCTGCACCTTGACATGGATGTCGCGCCGTGTTATCGCTACTTTATGCCGACAACACCGGCTTCCATCAGCCACTCCCAACATTAAGTGACGACTTCCGTCACTTTACCGCTGCCCTAACCTGCCTTACTCCCTAAGAACCAAAGCACACGATGCAATGCGGCGGTGTGACACTGCAGCGGTGTCGCTGCGTCGTCATAAAAATTTATTTGGCGGGCGCACGAGCGGTACGGGCGCCGCGCTGCGCGAAACGGCGAAATCTTTGCGGTGCGGCGCCGCAACGTATCGTGTGCTTTTGCTCTAAAGTCGTTTACGTAATTCCAGGTCTAACTGTCACTCTCGATCATGCCAGCTCTTGCTTTACGTGAAAGGGATGGACATATATTCGAAATTTGTTTTTCAGAGTACTCCCGCTTGCTAGTCATATCCGACCTCATAAACGCATTCTGCGCGGTTTTGTACCTGAGGTATTTGGGAAACTAAATCAGACATTCTTTTCCAGTTCGTAAACTGATTTACGAAAAGTCTGTAAAGAAGGGAAGGAAATTATTTTGCGAATGTTTGATAGGATCTAGGATTTACACAAATAAAAGACACAGGCTTGGCTTCGAATTGTTTTATACCTCAGTTGCGTGTTACAACACTTACCCTATTCAAATATTACAATTTGTCTCCAATTAGTATTAGTAACAACGACAATAGCTTGTTAACACCAATAATGTCAACGTTAACAATAGAATTAATTATATCGTGATTTAGCCGTGA